TACACTTGGTGTACTCCAACAATATCGTAGTGGGCGAGAAATTCGCCCGGCTTCTCGGAAGAAAACCGTTTGCCAAAATGACCGCATCGATGATTTGGGCTCTCACAGGATCATCTACTGTAAAAGAACGGAAGCACGTCTAGAGCTCGCGGTTGTGTGAATTTGTATTAGACGCTATCTAGTAGTTATGATATAATTCTTAAGCCTAAGTAATGTGTCGTTACGGAGTTGTACGTAGTTTACATTGACAGTTTCCTTTGATGCCGCAATTTGTGCGTTTTCGGGCTCTTTGCAAAAATTGAATATCTCAGCAACGCAACAACTTTAGAATCTGCGGTTTTCGCCAAAATTCATGAAAATGTTTGCTTTAAAGAAGTCCACTATGTTAGAAGAAATCTGACATGGTCGATTGAGCACGTTAGGTCGTGACTTATCTTTAATGTCTCATATATATATATAACATAGTTCTTATGACAAAAGTTCGAAGTTTTTTTCTTCCTTCAACTTCGCACACTAACTGAGTACAAATATAGTGCATAGCTATAAGAAATGTGGTTAGACACGTTCATAAGGACGTCAGAGTTCTTCATATGCTCGAAAATATTGTGAAAATAAAAAGATTGTTTTTAAAGAGGGTCTAGAGGGGATCTTTAGGACAGAACCAGAGACATAATCTTGTAAGATCCGATGAATTCTTATCTGATTTTATGAAATCTTACAAGAAAAATCTTATAAGATTCTTGAACCAAAATTCTTGTGAAATCTTGTAAGATCTTCATATGACCTTGTAAGATCTTGTGAAATCTTATAGTATCTTATAACATGATCTTACAAGATCTTGTATGATCCTACACGATCATATTGCAAGATTCTTCGCCCTAGGTAAATGAAACAACTCACCTACTTCATACAACTCTCTGAACAAAACTTTCTCTCCTTTTAGATCTGAGTTAAAATCGCCCGCCAGAATAATCTGAGAATTTTTACCCGATACATTTTTCAACAACAAATCCGACAATTTGTCAAAATATTCCATTACCCCATCTATTCCGGGCTTTCTGTCGCTGCAGCACAAAAACACAACTAATGATTTAATTTGTAAACGAACTAAAAGACATTCGATTTCTGGACAGTAAGAGACAAACGAAAACGATATTTTATCACGAATGAAAATAGCTAATCCCCCATCAGGATTGTGTATCAAAGTCAAATTCTCATACTTGATTATTTTCTTCTTTTCGCTCATTCAATGTCTGTTCTTTTAATATTTTTGTTAAATGTTCAACACCATCAGGATTTGGATGTAGATCATCCCAACGTAACATCGTCTTTGTGAGATCAAACTCAATAACACATAAATCTAAATCATTTTTCGCTAGTTCATCTAATTTTTTATTATATTTGATAATTTTGAAATCTTGTACATTTACTTCAACGTCTGTTGTCAGCATGCACGAGCACTTTAAATAATTGAGTATGTTTTATTTTGTATTTTTGTTCTTGTCGTTTCAATTAGCTCTTTCGCACGCTCGATTGCCTGAGAAGGACTTTCTTTGAACGTGTTTTTTGTGTCTAATACGTAGGTAACATGATCGACATTTTTGTATATTTCAGCAAATGATCCTTTTAGAAACTTGTTCACATGCGCCGTAGATCGGCCTGGAAGAGTTCTCATGACGATGTCCATTTGCTCATTGGACAATTTTTCTCGTTTGACATGACGAATTAAACTGTCTCCAAATATCAATTGTTTCCTTTTCTTGCTGATTTGTATATTATTATTTTCATTTGTTGTTTTAGTTATTTTACTGTCATAAGGAATACTGTTGTTATCAACTTGTTTAACTGTCGGCAAAGGAAATACTGGCGTTATCAATGTCAGTGGATCAAAAGCCAGTGATGATGGATTTAATTTTGACGAAGTGAATGGAATCTGGACTTGTAGATTTGAATATAATAGTATATTCTGATTATGATCAAATGTCGATGATCGATGATATAGTAGTGAAGTAACATCTGCTGTTACCGACAGCGAGCAGGAGAAAACTTTGGAGAGCGATGGATCTGTTGTTGGCTACATCAAGAAAAATTAGACACTCCGGACGAAATCAATGTTATCCAGACGTGATTTTATCGATGATAAATCAGTTTCTGTTTGTGGATCACTCGACGATATTTTTACTTCGGTTTTCGTATTTTTATTCATCAATTCATCATCTTGTATTAGCTGATTATTTGATTCTATCAGTATTATTGTTTCTTCACTATTTCTATCGATATTTGTCAAGATGTTTAATCGATGTACGATATGCACTCACCCGAAATGTTGAATATTTTCGATGCACGGTTTTTTCGATTTCTTCTTTTAATTCTTAGGATTTCAATATCTGCGGTTTGGACGATTGTTGACTTTTTTCTTTGCTTGCGTTTTGACGAGCCTTTCGACGACGTGGATGCGGTTGTCGAGTCGAGTGATAAAGTGTTGTTGTTGTCATGATCACCTACAATTATCTTAATAAACCATACATTTAAGCCGCTACAAATTTGAGGTTACAGCACTGTTTTATTTTTGGTAGCTCAATCATACATCATACATCATTCGATAGAGAATTTCACGCTGATCAAGAATATCTGGTTTTTAGCCTTCTCAGTGTACATTATTAGTGGAAAAAATTCAAAAAACTTAACGGATCCGACATATCTTCGTTTTCGAGATCTTCATCTTGCAAAAACCTATCGCACATTTTTTGGTTTAGAGATGAAGCCAAGTTTCATACGCCATTTGAGTCGCCTTGAAACGTAGAATAAAAGTAGAAATCACTTTTTTGAGATTCGTTTTCATTGCTGAGAAAATTCATTTTTTTTCTAAATGAGGCGAAAAAGTCTGAATTCTGCCCGCAATCCTCAGTTTTCTCAATCACATCTCAACTCCTATGTAAGAAAAATATCATATTCGGAATCAGGATCAAAAAGTGAGCCGAATGATGCGTATTTTGAAATTTTTAGTTCACTTTTATTTTTTGGTGAAAATGTCAATTCAGGAATCTCATGGCAAATCCACCTCGCTCTTTTGGACAAATCCGTCTCCCTCATTTTTAAAGTTAGCAATTAATGGGGCAGTCATTGTGAATCACAAAGAAGTCACAGACGAATTATTTAAATTTTACGCTGAACAATTTCCAGCAGTGTCAAGTTGAGTATAATGAAATTATGACCAAGTTAGCTATGTGCGCTAATACTGTGACAAGAACGTCTTCAATTAAGATAAATAAATTCATTAAAAAACGTAAATCGCAAAAACCGACTGGTTTCGACGGTATTTCTAATTTTATGATTAAACTACTTCCTTTATATTGATTATTTAGCGGAGTGTTTAAATACAAGATTGTCATTTTCCAGATGTCTGGCAATTAGCAAAAATTGTTACTCTTAGTAAATTAAAAACAGGCACGCCTTCCTGCGATCAAACGCGTCCAATCTCTCTGCTGGCTACTCATTCTAAACTGTTTGAGAAAGTTATCCATGAAAGGATCAAAAACTGGGCGGAACAAATCATATCATTCCGGCAGAACAATCGGGCTTTAGGACAAGCCATCTGTTACAAACCTTGCAGTTAATATCCCTACGCTTGCGATATATGTAGATTATAAAAAGGCATTTGATAAGGTTTGGCATATAGGACTGGTGGTAAAATTATTTAGAATGGGCATGCCTATACTAGAACTTTTGAAGTTGATCATTAGCTGGTTGTCTAATCGAAGATCTTTCGTTGTGTTTGGAGACGTAAAGACTACAATATTTCGCGTTTACATTGGACTACCGCAAGGAAGTGGACTAAGCCCGCTCATTTTTATTATATATCATGCAAATTTAGTTAAATGTGTCGGTGCTTTTTCATGTCATCTATTTGCAGACGATTTGAACGCCTTTATAGTTCCACCTATCATGAAGAAGCTACCTACTATGGTCGGATTTTTAAGTGAGGAGGTTACTAAAGTATGTAGTCAGCTATTAAGCTATTCCAAAAAGTGGAAACAGCCCATCAATATCTCCAAGACGGTCGCAGAGGTTTTTTATTCACAAGTCCGGAACCTAATGTAGTAGTCTGTATACGTGAAAATACAAGATTGTTTCTAGATTTAAATATCTAGGGTTTCTATCTAGACTTAGTTCTACTTCTTAGCAATAAAGCAAGTATTTCGATCATTGACAAGTACTTGGCAAGGAATCAAGTACTTGCATCAAGTACGTTCTCTAGGGTAAATTGTGCTGGTTAAAAAGAAATAACAACATTTCAACTAAGGTACTTAGACTGTGCTTGCACACATATTCCTTCCCTTTTTTCTTCTAGGTCTTTCCCTACTTCTCCCTACTTCCCACTTCACAACAAGAACTCTTTAACTTTTTTTGTGAGATTGTTGTTTTCCAGGATCTTGTTTTCGAGGATGATGCAACAGAAACATAAAAATATACGTAGCTTAAAAACTACTATATCTAAAGTATAACCTTGTTTTAAAATGATGTTCTTTCTCTTTTTCCTTCTATAGTTATTGCAATTTTTTTTGCTTTGTTATGGATATACCTCTCTCTAGTGGTGTCACTGCTTTTTTTCTCCTTATTATACTTTCCTACTGTTTATTATATATTTATGTTATATTTGTAAAGGACGTTTAAAAACCTGTTCTTATGATTTTTAAAATGTATTCGAAACTTTTATGTACTAGTTTTATTTTTGAAAGTGCCTAAGGGCATCGCAATAAAATGCAAAAAAAAAATTCATACAAAATTGAAGGAACTATTTACTCAGGGTGTAACCTTATACTACGTTCGATGTGTAAATTTATAATTTTTAATTTATAGAGATTTTGTTATGTAATTTAGCATGAGCGGCAAAGAAAGCACTTGTGAACAAAAAAAGCCTTTCTTTAAACTTGAAATCTTGTATGATCTATGTTGAAAATTTGAGCACAACGGAAGAGGAACTCCGGGCTCTTTTCTCCTTTATGTATGTAAAAAACTCAGACCATTTGGAAAGAATACTAGTTTTGCTACTCCTATATTCTACACTTTACCCACAAACAAAACTATATAAAGTAGAGATGTGCACGAGTACCGTTTTTCGACCCGTAATCCACCCGAAACTTTTTTTTCATCCTTACCCGACCCATTCTCGACTTATGCCTAAAATTTTCTCCTTTTCGGTTTCCGGTTAAAAACTTTTGTTTTTCGCCTGGAGATGTCAAGTTATCATTACGTTCTCAAGTAACTCTTTTAAAACTTAATGTATTTTAGCTACAACTTTGTGGTTTTCCGCTAAAACCTTCCGGGTTTCGGATAAATTTTAAATAAACGAAGTCCATATCCAAACCGTACCTGCTCTATCCGTATTCGACAACTTCGTACCCGTACTCAATCTTCGGATCGGGTTCGGGTTACACATCTCTAGTATAAAGCATGTCAATTGTGTAAGATTTGCTCTTATTTCATAAGGATACCGAAATCTTAGAAATTCGACTCGGCACAAAATCATATTTATAATAAAGCTACGACAAAAATCAAAGGTTATTTAGTTTACCTTAAGTAAGGAAAATTCAATAACTTAGCTAATAGATATCTAGCATGATGATGGAGAAAAAGTTCAACTTTTAATTCGCTGTTTTGACTAAGTTGTGGAATTTCTAGTATTAGTAGGTGCCCTTCCACAGGCAAACAAAAGAAGTTCATAACTTTGAAAGAAGTATTATAAGTCCAAATCCTTTCAGAGCTTTTATTAGTTCACTATCCTCTATCCTCTATCGCACATAAATCACTGGAAACGGACTGTTACACCTGGGGAGATTTCCTCGTTAGGGGGACTCAGGCCTACTGGGAATCGTGGCTCCACCGTCTAGGCGTTAATCATAGTGAAAACGTGATATTCAGAAGTTCGGATGTGCAAAAGCCGACAGAACTACATATGCTTACTTATAAAAAAATTATTTTATATATTAAGAAAATAGAAAAAAATACAGTTGTGGTGAAATTTTTTGACAAAAAAAGAGAAGACAACAAAAGAAATACGAGAAAAAAATTAGGCCGAAACAAGAAAGGACAAAACATTATATTACTAGTAAAATGTTGGATAAATTTAATAATTTTTTTATTTTAAACTTTAACACTTATCTCTCCAGTCTAAACGGTACTGAAATCGGATTACCCCATTGCATCTGTGTTCAAAGGTACCGATACAATGAGCATTAGATAGCTTGTCCAAGACTATCGCGCGACCGCCGTTGCCGGGATTCGAACTCCCGAATTTAATAATTACAGCGCGATATTTTTATCTATTATTAAAATTTAACATTGTTGGATAAGAATGTGTGCGAGTAATATCCAATTGTTTTTTTCGTTTTAAATCAATTGGAAAACAATTCCAGAATCTTATTGTTTCATCAGCTGATAGACTAACAACTGGATTGCCTTTTGGACCCATAATTGTCGACAGTATACGAGATGTATGTCCTAAAAAATAAAATAAAAACTTTGACCTCCAATACTAGTACTCAAAAAGTAGACTAACCTTTCAATGTATGACATTTTTCCATTGATGGATAATGCCAAATATCTAAAAAATTATTCGGATGTCCTTGTCCAGTAATCAATTCTTTATAATCGCTTGACCACAAAATAGACGAAACCTATAATAATATAGATGAAGATAAAGTAACATTATATACGCAAAATTGCATAGACTAGTGCAGACCTGTGATTCTGTTTTTACAGCATGTAGACATACACCATTATTAATATTCCAGAAACGAAGATAACCGTCGGAATGGCCACCACCTGTGCAAAGTACTGTCGGTTGCCATGGACACCATGCTAATGCCTAAAATACAAACAACAAACAAAGTGTAATTAAGACTAAAAATAAATGAATGTATCTTACTTTTACAGCAGCATTATGTTGTTTGAAATGCCATAACGGTTTGGTTCTTTCTGAATTTTGTATGAAATTATTATTATTGTCATCATTATTTAAGGGTACTAATGAAGATATGGCACTACTATTTACAGCACCGTTCGAATGCCATTGATTAAAATCCCACACACATACAGCATTATCATTGCTTCCACTAGTCAAATATCGTCCATTTGGACACCATTTCAAACCGCATACTTCTTGATAATGACGACGAAATTTAGTTACATGAACTTTTTGTCTTATATCAAAAATTATTATTTCACCATTGTTTCTTGTTCCACTAAAACGAAAAGATATATTTTTAAAGATCATTTATTCTGTTATTCGAAAGACAGATTATCTATGTTTTACCAAGCAATAACATTTTGATTCCAAGCCAATGATGGTATACGATCGTCATCTTCAAGTAAATTTTGTAGTAATAATTTTCTTTTACACGTTTTTTGTTGTACATCATATATCTAATAGATAAACAGATAGATAAATATGAAATGCTCTTTCTTACAAAAATTTTCTCACCATCACTTCTTGATGTGATGTTCCAACAGCTAATAATGGTAATCTTTGATGCCAAGCAACACTTGATGCATAATGAACATTCGCGTCGTCTGTATTCTCATCGGCGTCTAGTTCAAGTAATTTTGTAACACTACCATTACTATCATCCCATAAAAAAACACAATTCATTAATGCAACAGCAATCATATTTGATGCGTTACCCCAATCAATTAAATTTAAATCTGAAGAAATAGATAAAATCAAAACAATGTTACTAAAATACGATAAAATGAGAGACTTACAAAAATCATCGATCAAATCTGGAGCATCTAATATCCGTTCTGGCGTCGAACTTATATACCGTTCTTTTGTTGTAAATGTTAATGTTTGAAGTTGACGAGCCAAGTCACATGGAGCTAAAATAGTAGTATTAAATTATTTAACTGATTGAAAAGTAAACAAATCGATACTATAAAACCCAACTGTATTAAGCAATAACTAAATAATTATGTAATTTTACACACGTAAGTCACATGTATCATAAAACTTCAAAAAGAAGACTTACCGATTACTTTTGGTTTCAAGGTTTTAACACCAAAATTTAATATTCGTTTATTCTGTGGCATAAAATGATCCAACAACTCCAGCGCTTTTTTAGCCGAATTTGGATGAATCAATGTTCTCTGTGACAGGTTTTGATTATTATTATGATTATCATTGTCACTGTTGTTATTAGCGTGATTTATATGTCTATTTTCAAGTGGTGTAGTTAAGAAATTTCGCAACTCTTGTTCTTGTTTAACTTGTTGTTTTCTATTTTGAATTGTATTTGTTATTAACATATCCAAAGCGAAATCACAATCGAGATCAATACGTCGTGGGATATATCTGTAAAAAGGAAAAAATGGAAGCATTTCATCAGAAGCAACAAAGTGTTTAAACATACCTGTCACCACGTAGTAAATTTGGAACATCACGACGAGCACGAACAGACCATGCTTTTGCTTTTCCACTAGTTGAATCACATTTACTTTTTTCGGTTCTACTTTTCTCGTCAAAATCTTCATCATCGTCAAATGGATTCAAAAACAATTTTTTGGGAAAATTAAAGTTATACTGACTCTGAGCTAGATAAAGAGAAAAAGTGTAACAGAAAACGTATCTAAGAACAATAGAACTAAATACATACTTCGCTCAACATGTGGACGTTGTGGGGTCAATATTGTTGCCATATTAGTCATAAACAAAGTTATAAAAGAACACTCTACAATGAGGTGAACATCTCACTAAAACACATAAGAAGAGAAGTGTAATATCGTTCTTAAAAACCAATAAAAGATAATATTTTCATGTAGATTACGATAGACTAGCATAAAGGAATTATAAAAGCGGAATAAGCTTTCCCTTTAAATGGATGAAAGAGTTTCTTAAATTCAAGTTACAAAACACAAATGTGTTCATGTCCTGTTACATGTATCGGACACCTTAAGAATCTGTTTTCTTTCTTTAATAAAGCGAAGTTTGAACTAGAAAAATTTGTATCTAAATAAAATTCATTTTGGTAAAAACTAAATATTGCAAGCTACGATAAATATACCATGTCTTTTCACGGAAATTATATGAAAGAAATTAATTCGAAAACTAAATACATAAAAATATAAGATGTGAAAAAAGTCTATTCTGCGTATGTTCTCCAAAATTTTTCTAAAATTCATATTTTATCTTGAGCATTTGGTGCAGATATTAGTGATATAGATTTTAATACGTTCGGTAAGAGGGAAAATACATGTACCATATATACGATTACTTTTGCATCGTATTGTAAATTCTCAAGCAGCATAAAGACAGCTGATGAAAAAAAGAAGCGTCAGTCTTATAGCATGGAACTAAATTTTTTGTACATTTGTCAGCATTGACCCAGTCCCGTGCGAGAGATTATAACCACGAAGGGTGTAAATTTCTTTGGGAAAAAGCCATAGAAGTAAGAAAACACAGTTTTCTTTTATATAAATATATCTATTGTTTATTTATCTCCGTATTAGACGAGTAATCTTTTTGCTGCTCTCCCAGAAGTTTCGTTGAAAAATGCCCTTAATGCAGACGCCTGTTTCTCAAAACAACTTAAGTATTCCACTTAAGTACATTGTTAAGGTAAAAATTAAGTAGTACTTAAGGGATACTTAAGTTTCCTTTTAAGTGCGTGTCTCAAAAAAACTTAAGTTAGACAGAGGTCATGCAGTACAAACCGCTCATATTTTAACATGTAGATTATTTTGATGAAATTTCTTGAACAAAATCCTTCTGAAACTATTTTCTATCTAATTATTGTGGATCTGACTACGAAAAAACGTAAAATAAAAAAGTTACAAATTGTAAATAATTTTTTCTTAAAAAGTTAAGTGAAAACTTAAGAATGGTCGAGACAGGGCCCGTAAGTTAAGATGCTTTTGTGAAACTCACTTAAGCAAAACTTAAGTTTTTTTGAGAAACAGGCCCCAGGCTCCAGTTTATTCAAAACATTGATGTTAAAGACATTCGACGATATTTATGTGTTTCCTATCTTTTGGCTAATTGTGTAACATACTGACTGTCGAGAAAATCCCTTTTCTATCAAACACAACATTAAATGATATAGCCTTTCATCACCTATCATAGACGTTAGGCGATTCCTGAAAGGCTTTAATCGACTAAACGGACGTTCACTGCTCGCTGTAAGAATAACAAAAACGAATAAGCAATAAATGCATTTGGATAACAATGATATTATTGATATGATACCAATTTGAGCTTTTTTGTCTGTCTTTGAAGTAAATGTGGCAGAAAGATTCTGCTGTCAAAATAATTGGGAGAAAAAGTGGAAGAAAACACGCTTTCGTTAAATATTGAATCGATTCGCTACCAAATCTAGGCAAGAGTTCTGACGAAATTTTTTGGAAGAAAAGAGTAACGAAAAAAGAAGTTCTTAAAAAGCAGCAGAGACGTACACTTCCTCATCTCCTCTGTGGCAACGACACTGAATTTCTTCTTGAATCCATCATGCAAATAACTGAGATACGTTAAGATTAAAAAGTCAGGGTGGAAGACTTCACAATTAACGCAGTTTTTTGATTTTTTACGCTGGCTTAATGGATTTACCTCTATCACTTTCATCCGACGCACCTATTGTATTGTATGTTTGTTTGTTTTGTTTGTTTGTTTTTAATATTTTGCTTTCTTTCTTGTTACTTCATTTGACTTCCCTTCTACTAATTACAGGAGAGTTTTTATCTTGCATCATATCGTTTCTGCATAAATTTAAAGCATTTCTGCTTGTTTTCCATTCATCGGTGAAGAAAACTCTATAATTTGTACGAATCCGGACAGCCTTATCAGAGGTACAAACAAAATCGGCACAGAAGCGTTTCTTTCACAATTTTGACTGATTTGAAAGAACAACGCCACTATCAACTCCGAACAAAATTAGATATTACTAAGAGCATTAAGAGTTGTGTTCAAATCATATATATCGGTTAGTATATAGATTAACTGTCATGGACAATCAGTCAATATCTGACGTACGTGATAAAAAGCAAAGAGACTATCTGTAGAATTATCTAAATTTTATTGTGTTTAGTATACGAGTACGAATATCGAAGATAAAAATCGTGAATTGGAATGTGAAATACGTACTATCGAAGGACAACTATTAACTGCAAAAAGAATTTGTATTGGACAAGTATTTATCTAAACAAGTACAGTTCAAATAGAAAAACTATCATTTGTCTTTGTTTTTTCTTTGAATTCGATAGCATGAAGAAATTCTTCGATTAAAATCTGAACACGAACAGAAAAAGACGATTACTTCCAATTGTTCCCATAATAAAAATGATTGGATCATACAATTAACACAAGTAAGAAATATAATTGTAATAGATTAAATGGTATGATGTATTCTCTTTGCATTTTTCAGAAAGCAGCTGAACTTGAAAACATTATTTCATCGGCATTTAATCACAACTATGCTCTAAATAGCACAACAATATCTCAATACAATATAAGTTTTAATGATTTGGTATTACAATAAAGTAATAAAATAAAATTCTATTTTATTGCAAAATCTTATTTTACATTTAGCTTCGAGAAAGTCACAAACAATTGTCAGTACTGAATAGTAATCATGTTGCAAAATATGATAAAATAATAGAAACAAACAATGGTAATCGATCATTTGAAGAAGAGCAAAATAAAACGGATAGTGATATGATAAATGTAAGATATAATAATTTAACCTTTGCTTTTGTCTTTTATTTATGTTTTTCAGTTACTCGTAAATCGAGATAATAATCCAATCGTTGTTAATCATTACAATATTGTGAGTGACTTAATCACAAATGTCGATGAATTAAACTCTATTGTTGATTATGCAAAAGCACTAGATAGAAAGCCAATAACCGCTGTTGATACTAGAAAACAATGTTGTTCTGTTGATTTAATGAATGGTAAATAGGAAAGTAGATTTTTACGTTCATTAGTCTATATTTGATATTTTTTTGTTAGAATCATCGAACCGTAATTATACAACTGATGAACAATTGGAACTGATGATTAGTTTACAAAAAAAAATTGATGAAATAAAAGTGAAAGTTGCCAAAGAACGAGAACATTGTAACATTCAATAGTTTGTTATTATTGTGATTCTAATTTTAATTTTCTTGATGTGTATAGATTTGGTCATTTATGGGCATATGGTTGTTATCTTTACCGCACGAGCACACTTTGACAGTACTTTGTATAGCTTTTTACCCCATCTTTAGAGTTGTCTCTACGACATTCTGCTTATGCAACGCTATTATTATTCATATCAATATATTCAAAAAATACTGCTATTAGATTGTTCTCTAACATGATTCTTTTCAAATATAGTCTTTATTCACTCCTTCACATAGAAACTTCAATGATAAACCTACTTTATCTTCGATTTTTAATATAAATTTGAAAAGAATTTGATATTTGAATAGCATTGTTATTTAAAAGAGTACGTTTTTCATTGCTATTCCTCAATTGAATATAAATCTGTATATTTTTTTAATTAATCATATAAAACAAATTATGTGTTTTCTTTGCTGACAAAAACAAATTTTGTCTTTGAAGAAATATCAGGTAGAAGAACACACGGCAGTGACTATTGAGTTTGATAGTGGTGAGTTGTTTAAATCTGTATTATGAAGTAGTAGACTGATTGCTATCTATAAGAGTATTCATCAGGCGGTTGCAACAGTTCAAGGTCAAGATTGCGACAATGCTGTTCACAAATAGATGATTTCAATTCTTATCGAAAAAAAACAAGAATTTACCTCATAAAAAAATACAGATAACCTCAACAGTAAATACTGCATATTATACGTTTCAATAATTTTTTGATACTTGTTTGTGTTTATGTTCTAATTGATCTGAAAATTTGAATTTATCGTTAACAGAGCGAGATCTCATTATTGGCATCTATGTAGGATCTATATACATATTTAAAACTTATAATTAATTACTATTTTCCAGTCTGACAGAAAGATTTTAGATACCATTTACTTATTTTTATTTTCAAATTTTTTATGTAAAGAGTTTCTTTTTAAGTAAGAACACTTGAAATAAAACTTATTTTTAAGAGTGCTTGTAAAAGAAACTCCTCGCAATACTTGTATATATATATATACGTTCACACTTCATTCATGTTCAGGATTCGTATTAGCAAAAATCAAAAAGTAGGAGTAACTTCGTTGGGAATATGGTAAATGTAGAATGCGTGAAACAGGGCTAGAAAACGCTTCCACTCCCTACTGCTCTGGTATAATGGGATCCGTTAACTATAATTCATATATTTTTTTCATTTTCAGTAGGTATATAAATTAAGAATCTTCGGTAAAGAATGCAAACTCTTTACCGAAGATTCTTAATTTATATTTCCTCCGCCTTCGGCGGTGGCGCGGAAAAACTGGTTATCGGCGGCGAATCTTCAAATTTGACTAAAACAACGTTCTCTTTCATTTCCGGCACGTTCTTCATGGACGAATTGTACCTGTATGTTGTCGTATGCCAAAAGGTAGAAAAGCGCTGCACGCTAGATGTCTAAGGTAAGAGCGTACCAACAGAAAGAGTAAGAAAACCCTGCGTCATACGGTTTGTGTAAAACCAAAGAAAATAGCACACTCTGTGCTGCAAACAAACAACGAAACAACGTATTCTGTTCACGTTTCAATATGAAATATATAGAATATTCACTGGTCACTTATCACTCCGAAGAAAAAAACAAATAACAAGACTACACCTACATTCTAAACATTTCAGCGGTTGCAGCAGGACCTTAAAAAATTTGATGATGAAGGGAGGACACACTCGCATGTAGAATTTTCTCGAAAATATATTGGTGTATTTTGTTTCAATCCATAACGGGTTTTTTGCTCGATATGATATGCCTGAGCAGATTGAAGAAGTGAAGAAGTTTTAAAAATTGAGATTTTAATATTTTAAATGTTATATAGATGAATGTTGGAACTAAATGTACAGTTCTGCAGAGAATTAAATTCTGCATCTTTTGATTATGAAAACGTGCATTCACAATAGATCACATAATTTTTCTTTTCGAGAAAAGTAACATGAAGAGCTCAAAATATTAAAACAGCAACCACATGAAAGTAACAATACCTCATGAAGTTACTAATAAAATGAAAATTTCCAAAAACCTAGAGCAACCAAATCTTTTTACGAAAAAATTTACTAGAAAAAAGAAGCAATCTGAAAAAGTAGGAAATGTAGGATGTTATGAAGCCTGGATATTTCATGAATCATCGGCATAGCCTTAAAGAAAACTAATGAGATAATTACCATCACTCCACTATCATTGCGAAAATGTTGTATCTGTGTAAAGTCGACAATATAATCCGAATACAAAGGAAAAAATAATCAGAAACATTTTTTTCATAACATAAACAAATCTAAAAGCTCAACCATGTATTGTTCTATGAAATACATAATATTAGGAGAATAGGCAAACAAATGTAAAACAACACAAATTTGTTATTTTGCGTACAAAAAAACAAAACAGTAAAAGTGATTAAATCATAACTTATTTAGTTTCTTATTTACAAAAAATATCTATCACTTGTCGAAGTGGTATGAATAATTAAATTTGTCATAGATCTCGTTATTTACATATGCTTTGTATTTCCTTAGAAATTTTGTAAATCAAAACTAGATGTGTGTAATACAAAATCATTCTCGTTTAGTGGAAATAATAAAAAGATACAATAATAAATACATGTATTTTATGTACTGCTAATATCAGACAAAGATGTTCGTAGGCCTGAAGCCATAAGTTGTTGGAGAAAGAGAGACACAAGGAAATAACTGTTCGCTCCGCGAAATCTTTTACAAGTTAAGGTTATTCCTAGGGAAATTTTTTTCTGACCACAAGAGATCGATTTCCACCTTCCTCTCGCCCTATGGCTACGGATCTGAATGTCTGCGAGGTGTTTTTTTTACCAATGTGCACCAAGACGTTCGGATACTTTTTTCAAAAAATCAGCGTGACTAGCAAATAACGGTAGTTTTGAATGCATATCATGCCAAAATGCATCTGTAGCATCTGTTCCAGCGTTGACTTTTAACAAAGCAAGATGTTCTTCGTGTTCATCGTGAAAATTATATCTAAAACATAGAAATTTAATCAAAATCTTTTCTAGAATTAATCGTATTAGCTTCTTACACCGTCGACTCCATCCAGGCATTATCAGTGTTCCTTGGATCATCAACATAGCCTACAAAATATTTAATAAAATGTTTGTCATCACTCTATAATAACTTTACAAAAGTAATACCTGTATAAATTCGATTACCACCATTTTCAAATGTATCTTTTATTACGGCTAATAAATCATGCTTTGATTTTTCGCTCATGTCGGGAAAATTTAATGTTTCCTCTTGAAATTCACGTTGTAGTGTATCAGTTACTTTTTCCTTTTTTTCAACCATCCCGCCAGGAATGGCAAATTCGTTTGTGTCTTTACGACGAATAGATACAAATTGTAAAATAGGTTTATTCGTATCGTTATTTAATATTTTATTTCCTTTTTCATTACGTTTCCATCGTGTGACAATTGGATCCTAAAATCATAGAAATATTAGTTGATGAAATATTTAATAGACAAAATATGAACGCAAAAAGACGTACCGCCGCATGATTGGGTCCAAAATGACCTTAATAGAAACCAAATGAAATATAAATATAAGTTATTAGAACAAATTCATGGCATCAAAAAATCGACTTTACGAAACTGTTATATACGTCATAATCGCATGCAAAAAAGTTCTTAATAATTATTTTTTATATTTTCTTACCTAAATGTCCTCTTCCTGTGATCCCTGTTCTTCCGCACGGATTTTGTGGTACTCCTCCAACGATTTTATAGGAACCATGGTAGGATCGACGATCACAAAGTTCATCATCTTGATTCCATGGTATATCAATTTTTAAAGGTACTTCAAATCGTGGATCTTTATCAACATATTCTTTTGTTGACGTACGCACTTTTTCCGATGTAAATTCGATCGGTCTATAATCAAAGTGACTGTTCCATCTTACTTTAGAATCTGGTATAGCTGGACGCATGATAGCCGGTTGATCTTTGGTCCCCGTTCGCGTATATTTAGCATGTGGACAAATATTTTTTTGTAAATCACATACACCACCACAATTACGACATTTATGATGTATTGGTATTCGATTATTTTCGTGTTCATGTATACGAGGACGGATATGAATTCCTAATCGTAGTAAAATTTGACCCATCTTTTTATGAGGAATATACTCTATATGTATAGATAAATATCTAAGAAAACGTCGACTGATGTTTGTTTCCTTGGCTTCAATAATTTATAAACCTAAACATAACTAACATCATAAAGACAGACTCTTCTCGAATACAGAATAGTGACAATATCTGAAATAAAGAAAAGAAATAGACAACCTATCGAGTACAAATGATAAAAAAAGCAAAATTAATATCTTAGTTAAGCTAGAATGTTTTTATTACTGTTAATTAAATCCTCTTTAGATGCTCTTCTCTAGTTAGCTTCTTTTCTTATAACAAAGGATGTTATACAGGCAAAAAAGTTGATATTAACTACCACATGAAATAAATATATAATAAATTTCCGTTCTTTTTATATTGATAATCATACAACTGGAGTAGATTAAACGACGTGGAATATATACAAAAAAATATGATATGTAAACAAGCAAAGCCATATTTTTCCGTGATATTACTACAAATACAACGATTGTTTTGAAATAACATCTTACCACTACCAGTCTGTCATAATGATTCATATCTTTCAAGAGAATATTGTATATAGATCTTTTTTCGTTTTCTTTACGTTAGCAGACAAAAAAAAGGAAAAAAAACATAAAAACGTAAAATGATATGCGAAATTAAATAAGGAAATCGAAAAAACAAAAATTAAACGTGGTATTGGATTCTCGTCCAGATACGTGAAACGAAAGTATATCTGTGAAAAGAAGAAAAGAAGTTAGTGAGTTTTATCTTAATCCAACAAATATACTCTTTGCTTCAAAATGACATTTATATATTACAACGTATATATAGAAAAAAATATTCTTTTGTTATCAATCGATATACTTTCGTGATCTAAGATATTTCTTAGACTATAAATAATAAGAGTCTATCATTACGTAATAACATTCAGTTGGGCAATTCGAAAATGAATAACTATGTACTTTATTACGTGTCTTATATATTATTCATTTCTATTCTATTTAACGGTATAAAAATAATTTTTTTCCTAAGATTATAGGAAATCGCTTAAAACTTACTATAGTTTTATACTGTATTATAGTTTAAATAAACATTTTTTTTCATTCCTCCGTAAAAAAGTTGTGGTACTGTGTCTTGTTTGACGTCAGAAAATACCATAATGTAACCAAGAGACAATTTAAATGACTAATGCTTAAAAAAAGGAAGAGAAAAAAATCTTATAGAAAAAGCATAACGCAACGATATTTTATGTATTCTACAAAAATACAAAAACATCAGACAAAAATATTTTAGATAAATGCTTAATTAAGTATCGATAAAACCTGTTTAGTCTACGACTTTTAAAAGTAAAGAATCTAGTTTTTCAATATTCTTAGTTATCGTTTCCAATAGAAAATGGCTTACTTTAGTACATGAATAAAAGACATCTGTGAAGGTTTTTTTGATAATCATAGACTACCATTAAAAATTAAAATTTTTTATTTACCGTTGAGTAAGACGAACATATTATTTTACGGTAGTATAATAGTATGCATTTTCTTTCAGATTGCTATATAATTTGGTTTTTAAACTTTGTTAACGGACATCTACGATTTTACCTACGCATATGAACACCTATGGCCGTAGACAATGAGTACGAAAAAAGAATGGGCGCGCGCAGAGGCGTAGTAAATGAGTCGACTTACTTCGCTGTCAGGTATATTCCACTTATATTGTTTGTTTTTCTTTTCGCCGATGATAAAAAAAAAGAACCTAGCAAATGAATCATACTTTTACCCGGTTATATACTATGATACGTTATATGATGCAACCCATTAGTTAAATATTTCACTGAAGTGTCAATCAATTGCAAGAACGCTAGCAGAATCTATTCATAGTGAGTTGGAAATATAGTAACTACGTTTGAACAAGTCTAAAAAATTGACAGATTAGATTTGCATCAAACGTACATTTATTTTAATATCAATAATAACAACGGAAAAAATGGAAACCCTAAACATATAGTTGGAATAAATAACAATAACAAGCAACATAAAAAAGAAAGAAAATTCAAGTTAAATTCGGTTTAAAAAATACAATACATCAAAACGACTCTTGCCATCTTTTTGAGCACAAGAAATTAAGAAGAAAACTAAACAGTATAGCAATTTGCTCTTGTTCTGTTAAACTCATTCTAAGTTTTGTACTTTCATCGAATATATATTGTCATTATCGATGCACTGTCTAAAATATAAAAATAAAAAAGATTATGCCTAGAGATGTGACAGTTCCAGTTTTCAGAAATGTGAGAACTAGTAAAAAAAAACTGGTCATCAGTTTTTCTCGCTTCTTATCAGTTCTGTTGAACTAGAAGTGACTATAAACGTATAGACATCTTTTGTGATAATCATTTGAAATTTAGCTAGATTTAGATTCATTCCAATTATTTTTGGTCTTAGAGTCATGAAAATCTCTTAGTCATTTTTACATTTGTTTGAAAAAATTCTAATGGTTTCATTCTTTTCTATTTAGAAACTTTGGGATTTCCGTAAGATTCTTTTGTGAGTCGAAAATGTCTCGTTAGAATGTTTTTTTTTCGCGAATATACGTAATTTTGTGTGTACATATAATTAGTGAGTGGCACCCCACTGTGTATGGCGTACTTTATGTTAAGTAAAGAAGGCTACACCGTTAGAATTCATGTTGTTAAATTGTCCTAAGCCAGCGAATTAGGAACATTTTATGAGATATCAAACTTCACTACAGTTGTTATATGTTCAATCTTGACATACAGCTGCCAGTTTAAAAGGTACAGTAAAAAACAACTTCCTGACACATCCTCTAGTCCAATATTTAAGGTAAACCGATTCGGAGTAAATTCTCAAATGTCTTCTTTGCCCTATCATCGTCATCTCGTTTTAGTCAAAACATCAGATTGCTTCATCTTTGGATTCATTGCAGTTTGACCAATTCTTTGGTCTTCGAAATGAGCTGGTGACCAGTTCCTGTTTAGTACGAACGAGAGTTTAAGACCAGTTCTACCTCAACAAAGTTAACTATTTTATACCTTACGTTATGATCAACTATTGTCTCCATATCTTCAATCAAAGGAAAACAACTTCTGTACTTACATGGAATTTTTTTATTTATGAATGCTTTTTTATTTTGCTATTTGATGAGTTTATATAATGATAAAGTATAATAAGCAGAAATACCATAACGTTCAATACATTTGCTACAATGGCTAATTGTACGTCAGATATCATAGTTTCTGATTTATATTCTTAGAATTTTACGAGGAATGCGTTTTTGTTCACAATTATTCTTTAAGTCACAAATCTAAAATAAATAACAATAACTTTTCTCTATAGCAAATAAATCAACGATACTATCTGTATTTCTGATGATAATTTTGAAACCAATATTGTGAGGTTTTAAGCTTTCGAGATATTATTTCTTTCCTGCCTGCTACAAACAGTCGCTAACTTTTGAAACGTGTAGAGTTCTGATAATCGGAAATTTTAAATGTATATTAGCCAAAAGACAAATAGTTCGCTTGTTTTTCTCACAAAAACTAGTTAAGTTACTTAGTATTGAGAAATCGCTTTCATATGCTAGTTTTAGACTAGGAAATTAGTGTTTGGACTCGATAATCAAATCTGAATTTTATAGATGAAAGCAACTAATAAACAATAGGCAGTAATTTAGCTGTAACACAGAGTAAACAAAATGATGCAGCTCATCACAGAAATATGAGTTCTCACAACCAATAAAAACGCGATATGAGAAATGAAAGATAAAAAAAATACAAATAAGTGACAAAGTGAAAATACACTAGAATACAGATAAAATTTAACATACAGAAAACAGTAAGATAATAAAGATGAACGATTGTTACACGCATTGAAAAATTTGATATAAACATTGATTGACATAGTTCAGTCGTTGAGCTCCTAATCCAGAAAATAGTTGAGCCCCAACTATATCTTGTTTAGGGAGAATAGGAGAAAGATAAATTCGACGCCCAAACCTCTGATGGAGCTAGTCCAACGACACAATTCAGTACACCTAGCTTGCACCAACGAGCAAGAGCAATGTCGCTAGCATGTCCATTCCATCTAAGATCGTGCGAAACAAGAATACCAAGACAACAAACAGAAGACACAACAGACAGAGGGCTTTATTGAGATACAGCTGATTGTAAGCAAACGGAGAAAGATCAAAACTAAAAGAAAGCCAATCTAAATTAAATTTCCACTTCTCTATCTCACTAACGCACTACTAACACGCAATAAATCGTGCACTTCGCGAACCATATACCCATAGATACGTATGGGTACATTTTACTTTGATAAATACTCTGTCAGAAATAGGATCCCTATTATAGGACGGCCATCTAGGAAACTAAATTAAATTCATGTATCTATATTATCTGTAAAACGTGAAAAAAATGGTTGAGAGGTGTTTCATGGATGAGCCAATCAAAAGAGAGAAGAAGTAGACAAATATAAGATACTTACACAAAGCTAAATGTCATCTATAAATAAGCATATGAACTCTTTCTCTGAGTCACTGCCACCTGCACGAGAACCACAGCACACGATGCTTGATGATTCATACAAATCTTGATGAACTTGATGTAGTCTGTACATCTAGTCTAGAATGGAATAGTCTGCAAGTGTCATCTCAAACACGGATTTCATTCGAGAGTTATAAGCTTTTCAAAGATAGGTGTCGCTCGATAAAAGACGGAAACTTTTCACTAGAATAAAGAAGTAAAAATTATTTTTTTCTGTGAAATAAAATTAAGCGCTGTCCTTAGCACATATACTCTGAAATGAGCTTTATCCAATCGCGTTTGTTGAAATTACCACACGTTTGTACATCACATCAGAATTGGCGACTTTTTTAAGAGTAAACTATTGTTAATGTTGAAGTGATCAGTCAGCCGAACTGATAAAGTTGGAAGAAGTTCATTCGATAGTCTTCATCAGAATGTGCAAGAAACAATTGACTTCAAAATGAGATGCCTTCG